ATTATGATCTGTTCATACCCAGAAGAACAGACAGCTTAGAATGCCTCATGTGAACAAATGCAGCACCAGAAATACTGAGGTTTATGCCAATGCTGAACTGGTTGAAACAGGATGGGAAAGTTGGAAAGTAACTCTCTTCCTCCAGTCCAGCTAATAGCTTCTGACTGTGAAGGGCAGCAATTAACTTAAGTCTCGTTGGAAAATGCCACATGACTAGGCTAGCTTACAGTTGCGGAAAAACTTAAAGCTGTCCAGATTCACTCCTTATGAGATTAGAGAAGGTAAAAATCCTTCTTCATCATCTTTAAATTTATGCTCCAAAGCATATTTCATAAAGACATATGTAAAACTTTTTTCTTAATATTACTAAAATTGAAAATGTACATTTTTAGGATTAGAAGCTTTGATATCAGTGTCATGCACTCACCTGAAGCCTTGCTTTCTTTCAGAACTGCAGACGGAACAGCCCCCCCGCCCCGTTCCCCCAGAGATTCCAGGTGCTACCATTCCCAGCATTTGGAACCCCACTTTCCCTTCACAGTGCCATGCAGATTACTTATTAAACTCTCTAAACCTAGTCCTACTGCATGGGAAGACAATTCTGAGCCCACCATGGTGGTCCTCACACCCCCTTTCCTTTCCTCCCCTCTCTCTGCAGGCATTTTCTAACAGCACACTCTGTAAACATGAGGAACGTGGGTTTTCATTACAAACGCCTATTTCCAAGCATCATGGATGTCCATTTAAGGGCATCCTTAAATTAAGTTTCCATGTAATTTCTCTACAAAGGTGAGACTTTTGCTTAAAATAAAGCGCCATTGAGTTAACAAATGAGGAAATCAAACGCAAAGCAGTTCAAGTCAAAATTTTCCACATATGCAGTTTTTCCAAAGAAATATTCTCTTACAGAATTTTACAAACCTTGAAAATAAAAAGCTTAAAATGAACCATTTTTTTTTTTTATTTTTAGCTCACACAATAAAAAAAAAAAGTCCATTTCAATCACAGCACTACAGTTTCCATGGTTATTGTGGTTTTTAATGTGCTGGCAAAACAGTAACATTACAGAAATAATTATTGATAACATTAAAATAAGTTGCTCACTTGAAAGCTACTATTTCAGGCAACCGAAGTGCTATGAAAAGACAGTCTTACTATTTTTTAATTTCCTTTCATGAAAAAGAGAAATTCTAAGAGAAGACCCCCCCCAATCGCTATTTGTACAAGGCAGACTCATATCTACTTTGTACTACCAACAGTGTCCTTCAAAAAGTCATGTATTTGTGAGGAGTAAAAGATGCTAACAAGACAAGCACACCACTACTGTGAGAGGAGAGGTCCAGCTAATACTACATATAAGGAGAACAGCCTGTAGTTAAAAGAAATGGTTCAGTTATACATACTAGTTTCCTTTTTTAACTCTGACCATTATTTTTTTACAAATGATTAAACAATAAGAAACGAAGAACTCATTAGCATCTGCTGAGATTAGGCCTGAGAGAATATTGCTATTTAACATAATTTAAATGAACTCTCAACAGTCAGTACTAGCATTGAATTAAGATGAAATCAGTCTTGTTAGCCACTTGATGGTTCAAAGCTTAGGCTGATAATTATTGCTGTTTAAAGTTTTTAGCATCTGAGAAGAAAGTTAGTAAATTCCCATTACCAAAAGCAAATCAAAATCCTCATATAAGTTTAACTGGGCAAACAGAACCAAAGCAAGCTCTTTTCTAGTCTGTTTACTTGTAGTTGATTCAAGTGTATCTGTTTTGGTCATATCTGCAGATCTACCATCAGCTCTATGAGAATATTCTAATTATGACATTCCAAAGGAAGATTACATTCTTGGCTTTGCTACTTGGGGTGGAATAAAAGCATATTTCAGGTAGGTTCCTACTCTAAAGGGAGAAAAATTTTCTTCTCATAAAGTTAAATCTTCAACCCCAAGAAATTCCATTTTCAATGTACTGACTTGCATGGTATATAAGATATTTTAATTCTAATTCTAAAGTAGACAAAATTTGCTTGAAGAACTTTATGAAGTGCTAAACAGCTCCAAAGGAACAGGCCAATAAGGTCATCACTAGTCACACATGGTTACTGAAATTTAAGCTCATGACAATTACACAGAATTAAATTTAAGCTCCTTGGTCACATTACCCACAGTGGAAGTGCTCAGTAACCACACCTGGCCAGTGGCTACGGTCTATGAAGTTCAGATAAAAGGTATTCTCTTCACTGTAGAAAGCTGCATCGCATATCCCTGAACTCAAAGATTTCTATTTCTCAGACAAAGTCATTAAAATGACTCTTTTTTCTGGTCGTGTGCTTTTCATGGACTAAAGATTAACTGGGCTTAATCTCAGCTCTAATATGCAGAGAGAATGACATTTTGAATGGTTTATACTAAATGACAGACTGACCTATACCATGATAAAGTTTCAGTAAATGCATATCCATTTTATTATTTTGGCAACAGACTAGAGTATTTATGAGGCAAGAGTACAAATTTAAAGAAGCCTAAAGAAAAACCTGCTGTCTAATGCATATTCCTGTTAGAGGGAAATATGGAACGAAATAGTAACTCAAAAATAAAACCAAGTGGCTCTATGTCTCACTAAAGCCTCTTTAAAAACGTGACATAAAAGCCCTTTCTAGAGCTGGGTGTGGTGGCGCACACCTTTAAAGCCAGCACTCGGGAGGCAGAGGCAGGCAGATCTCTGTGAGTTCAAGCCAGCCTGGTCTACATAGTGAGTTCCAGGACAGCTGGGGCTACTGGAAGGCTCTATTTCAAAAAGACCGAAAAAGAAACCATAAAAAGGTTTTCTAATTCTGTTAATATATTGGAGACACTCAGTTACTGTTACCTTGTTATAAAATGAAGCAGGGGTCCCTTAGTAAAATAAGCTTTCTGATGAGCATTGTTTGATTATAACAATATTAAACAGACTTTGTCATGAATGCTAGTATATTACTACACTGCTTTGCTTATCTGTTTTAAAAAATACTTTGGAATATTCATGATAGATAACTTCAAGTTCATAAAGAGTTTGGTCTCATATTTTAATTGCACTTTCAGTAGTTTCTAGTAAAAGAATGCTTGGTCAATAATACAAACTTACTTATGATGGTGTATCTCTAAGAGTATCAGAAACAATACCTCCGTTCATGGGATATTGTTACAGGAAGGCAACCTTCTTGAACTCTAAAAGATTACTGACCTCTTCAGAGTATAATTTATCAAAACTGAGTATTTGGGAATAGTATTTTCCTTACATGTCTTTGCATAAAATGCTACTTTAGCAAGCGTGTTAAACAATGTAAGTTCAGATAAGGAAATAAGCTCAGAATAATAAACAAGTTACTTGAGATTATGGAATAGGTACTTTGGAGACAAGAAGTGAACCTAAGTATGGATGTTATCATGAATGGTAACTTCAAAATTAATTCTGAGGGAATTAATTTTTTTCAAAAACACTGAGTCATTACATGTACCAAGCATTATTTGTTTGTTTTTAGTCATTAAAAAAAACTTTAAAATTAATTTATTTTTACTTTATGAGTGTTATGCCTGCATGTGTAAGTGTACCTGTGTTGTACAATGCTTGTGGAGGATAGAAAAAGGTGTCAGATCCCCTGGAAATGGAGTTATGGATGGTTGTTAGCCACCATGTGTGTGCTGGGATTCAAACCGGGTCCTCTGCAAGAGTAGCACTCTTAACTGCTGAACCATCTCTCCAGTCCCAACTCCATCTCCCCAGCACTATTTCTAAGAGTTGGGGATGATTAGATGAACAGGCTGTTCAGTGCTTACATTTCCTAGCACTCAGTAGCAGGTAACATGTTTACAGCTTAGAACACTGAGGATACTCAAGGAAACAGGGGCTCTCCAGTGTTACAGTCAGGAGGATGACCCAGGAGCTAGTCACTTACAGCTTAAATCCCTAGCCCACCACCTATAATTATGTGATTTTGAGCAGCCATTTTATCTTCCTATGCCTCTATTCTCTCATTTATAAAAAATGGGGATAAAATATACTAACTCATTAGTTTGCTCAGAGGACTAAATAGCTATGAACACAGTAAATGCTTTTATTTTTTACTATTATTAATGTAGGGAGATAATAGATAAAGAGTAGATTTTCCTTGATAGTGACACATGGCTATGAAAAATAAAACCAGGTTTTGATTCATTTTTTTCTAGATTTGTTTTCTAACTTCACTTATAAAAGCTGATAAGAAAATTGTCTTCATTAACTTATTCATTCAATATTTACAGCGTGCCTACTTTAGCATCTTACTTAGCACTAAGTCATGCGAGGATGCAGTTTCCTTATGAAATCCAGTGAGGAGAACAAGACACTAAAAAGATAACTACACAAACATCAAACAGCATTAGAATAAAAGCAGCAAACGAAAGGAAAGCCTACAACGGGGAGCCCAAGCCAGCGAAGGCCTGCAGGAGGCACTGCCTGGGATGTCAGCTACACGCTTCATCTTGCTTTTCCCCCAGCCAAACGAGCTTGGAGACCACTGGGTAAAAGACAGCCTGTCAAATCTCAAAGGCTTTGCGGAGCTTAGATACAGGAAATTATATGGAAGAAAGGAAAAACTTTTGTGTTTCTCTTGAATCAAAAGTAAGTTCCAGAATTAGTGACATTTCATTAGATAGAATTCTTTGCTTATGAAACAATCCAAAACTTGAGAATCATTGTTTTGGGCTGACCATGACAGATTCACTATCCAGAAGATTTAGTCATTCCAAATAAGGTCACCCCAAATGAAGTATCTGACACTTTTGTGCTTAACCTCGCATGGAGTCCAACATCTCCACCTGGAGTTTCTTTGTAGGTAACAGCTGCTCTCTTTCCAGGGGGATAAAAAGCTGTTCATCCACACCACCCTCGAGGATCTTACCATTCATTGTCCAAGGAAACAAGACACTGAGCTGAAATTGAGAAATATGAGTGGACAGAAAAGAGGAAAGGCACACTTACGGAGCCCACAGTCTGGGGAACGCCTCTATTTCCTCCTGGGTGTACTCATCTAGACGTCTAGGCACTCTCCGTGGCTGAGGAAGCTCTTCCACCAAATTCTTAAGGATATCTTCTGGAATATCCTACATTAAACATATTTGGACTTAGTTTTCTTAAAATAGCTTTCTTATTAATAAACAGTAATATTTAATATTAAAAATAAGCAAAAAGAATGTTTATGGAATGAGTAGAATGAGAAAAACAATATAATTTTAAAATACTTTGTGTATATCTTTGAAAAGTACAACCAACCAGTGATAAACTTTATGATCACTCCTTCTCCCTCCCTCCCTCCCTCCCTCCTTTTTCTTGAGACAGGGTTTTGCCCAGGTTGGACTGGAACACTCTGGATAGCTCAGGATGGCTTTGAAATCCTGAACTCTACTTTTCAAGTGCTGGGATTATAGGTGTGTGCCATCCTGGTAATTGAGGTTTTAAAAAGTAGTATTTGACTTATTCCGTTCTCCTCAACATCAAGAAGGAACTGCCTGGCCCACCATCACACTTTTTCACCTGATGCAGTGTGTGCGGAGTCTCCCCATCCAGTGCCACTGCCTTTCAAACTGTATTTCCTGTTCTCCCCAGTCCCTTCAAATGGCTGTTTTGTTTTGTTTTTGAGACAGGGTCTCCTGACTCAGCTGGCCTTAAAAAATGGCCTTTTATTATGATTCTTATATGTCACTATCAACTTATATGAAGCATAATAGATACAACAGATAATACACTTTTTTAATGAAAAGTATTTTAGCCACATTTATATCCCTTTCTTCAATACCATAAATTCCTTAGTATATTCCAGTCCTCAGCCATAATTACATAGGTTCACAACTGGCAGCGGATGCCTAGACATATGGAATATTAAGTGTCAACTACATTTCATTTATGGAAGAAAGCTGCCTATTGGTTTTATATTTATGAAAAGTTATGAATATTTTATACTTCTTTGGGAAGCATTGACAAAGTCCCACATTATAAACACAATTTTACAAGTAGCCAAGTGCTTAATCAGCAGGGGAATTGTGAATTGCAGTGTCCTAGTAAATGTTTGTGGAACAGAATGAAATCTGGAGACTGGTGGTGTAGCTCAAGTGGCCGAGTGTTTGCCTAGTATGTCCAGATCCCAGATCCCCAGCAGCACAACAAATAAAATCATTTCATCTTGACTGACAATGAGTTTTTTAAAATTTCCTCACTGTTAGAGGAATTCACTGAAATAACAGTTGAAGCTGATGCAGAATGAAGAATTAAGCTGTTGACTGGAATTCAAGTATAAAACCAGAGAGAGAGGAAAGCCTCCCTTAACTCACAAAAGGTATCTAAGAATGCTGACTACACTTATGGACATGTATGTACCAGTGCACTTCACAGACTGGGTGGTATGCTTAAGAGCAGAACCAGGCAAGGAGCAAGAGCCAGAAACAAACAGGCTCATTTACTTTACTGATAAATTTTTTTTTGGTGCAACTTTCTGTTGTAAGTCATATCAAATCTACTGAAAGTGAACACTAATCTAAGTTTCACCTAAATCCAACTTTGATTAACAAGGTGCTTGCTCTCCCCTTTCTATCTGTCTATATATAAACATTTTCTTTTTAAGTAAATCACTTGAGAATAATTTGGAAATAATTCAATTCTAAACATTTCAGGATTGATTTCCAAAATATAACCATATCACAATTACATGTTCTGGAAACAATATCAATGAATTACTTTTTATCTAGTGCTTAATATATATTCCAACTTCCCCAAGGTGGAGTTCAGGGTCATGCACTACATTTACTTATTCTGTTGCTTTCTCTTCAGTTTACTCTTTAATGTAAGAGTTTTCCCCAGTACCCTGGTTTTACATTATATCAGCATCTTGAAGAGTTCAGGGCAGTTATGTTACAGAATGTCCTTGTATTTGGATTTTCCTGCTTGGTTTCACAAGACAAAATTCAGGATGAACATTTTTTATTTTAATAGGCTGCGATACCCTTTATGATGAGTATTCACTCTAAGAGGCAGGTGATGTCAGTGTGTTCCATGTAAAGAACGAATTCGATTAAGAATGTATCTGATGTCTTAGTTTTGTGGTATCCATTGGACTTCTTTAATGTAAAAGCAACTTTTCCCCTTTCAAATAATAAGTACATTGTTGCATGACATTTTGGAACTGAACTTTTACCCAATGGCTAGAAAAATGCTAATAACG